CTTTGATAACTTTTGGTAAATAACATGTTTGTTGTCTTATTTTTTGTGTATTCACTGTATTGTATTGAACAAAATTGTTATGCGGCCCGCGCTCGTCATTCTCTCAGTTATCTGGTCCGCTGTGAAAAAAGTTAGGATCAAATTATAAATTCATCCTATTATATAATTTGAATTATGACACTTGCTCTTTCTGGTTTTAGAGGAAATTAACTAATACAAATATAATGGCACTTTTGATGTTTTACTACTGTTAGGTTTTAACTCTTCAATTCTCAGTGTTTACAGATTTTCGTGTTTTGGGTTTTCTCTATCTATTAGAGAAACAATTTGTACTGCATTATACATGATCATGTTTTACAGCTAGAGGTGAGAAGTACAGGAATAAATATATTATTTTTTTATCTCGCAAACAGTTGTTTCAAAACTAGAGCTTGTAAGGATAGAATTTGAGTGATTGTGTCATAAACGTGGGCATTATTCATATAATGCCAAGGGCTTGTGAGTTGGATAGGATAGAATGTCGTAGCTCTCTGGGAAAAATGAAGGTTTTTGTATAACTATTAAAGAAATTATGTTGGAAAAAATTATAGTTTATATGAAATATTTAAGTTTTTTAAAAGATAGAGAATGATTAAACCCATAATGAATTACAAAATAAGACTAAAATTTAAAAGCTACATTAGTCTTTGGTGAAATGTGACAAACGTGTTATCATAAGGCATAAAGTGGTAATGTGTAAATTAGCTCTTTAAGACTTTAAGGTTATATTGACAAAGTGAAGAGTTGTAGAATTTTGATTCCTTATCTTTTGCCAAAAGTTATATTCATACCACTGCCTGTGTCTAAAACTACTGAATCGTATCTCGATATGGATTGCTATTGACTGTTATTTACTAGAAGCTAGAACTTACTAATAGAAGGAAATTTTGGCATTTAGTATTGTGATGGTTGATGAAGTTTGTGTTAACTGTAGTTAATAAGTAGTAAATATTCTTATACTGTTATAGGCTGCAAATGGCCTTAAAATTATGTACTGTTCAAATCGGAAATACTAAAGTAGAAAAGAAAGATACATGTAATTTTTAAAATTCTTTTAACCTAATCTAACCAAATTATCAACATTTTATCTATGTAGAAGACTTGTCAACAAAGAATTTGTCATATTGATACACTGGCATGTATTCATTCCCCCAAATATAAAACATTATAACTTTCAAAAATAAAATATGAAAAGTTTAAAACTTATGTGATGTATGCTGAACATATATGTTGAAAGTAATTAAAGTAGTATGAAATCATGTATAACTGTGTTTTGATGTGTGGGTTGGATACACAACTAGGAACAGAAATTTGCTCACTGAAACTGTTGAACAGACAATGAATGTAGTCATCAGCTATGTGGAAAAAAATTTTCAAATAGTACATTATTTCAGTTAGAGCTAGTAAAACGTTTTTTTTTATGCTATTTGTAATAATGTAAATGTATCACAACTGTTCATCCCACTCTTAGAATGTTGACATCTGGTGTCAGAGGGAACACCAGTGTTCTAAATGTATGGTTGCTGAACTTCACTTTGTTTCTCTTCATGTAATTCTGGTTAGTTTAGACCATGTAGTTACATATTATGTTCTGTATTTCATCTGGTAATATAGCTCCTCTTATTTCCTCTCAAAATTTTCCAGAGCAGCATGAAGTGTGAGTGTTCTCTCACTGAGTACTGTTGATTCTATACTAAAGAATTACAAGGTTTTTCTCTTTAACTAATAATTACAACAATATTATGCTTGCAACAGACATAATGTATAGTAGTAATAATGGATATATCTGTTAAGCATAGAAATATTAACTTTGTGCTTAACTGATTTTAAAAAGTAATTAAACATTGAATTTATTTTAACATATACAGTTGATAAATTGCTTATGGATATATATGTAGTTTTATTTTTCTAGATGTAATTTTGCATTTTTTTTAACAGTATTTTATGTATTAGTTTTAAAAATACTAAAAGTTAGACAAATTAGTGTAGTTTCAAAGAACAGTCTTGTAAAAGACTGTTTATGAATATGTGATAATCAAGTAGCATTCATTTAAAACTGATAGGTCAAGTAGATATTAAATATAAAACAGATGGGATACATATAATGTTTACATTCATCATTAAAACATTTAAAAACATTCATATTATTGTTTACTTACCTTGTCTCTCTCTCTCTCTAAGATTGTTATGAGAGACAAAGCAAGTGGATTTTTGACATTTGTTATATTGGTGTTTGTTAAAATATATCAAGCTTTCCTGATGTATGTTCAACAATCAAGTTTGCAAAAAATGTTTAATTTTTCTTTTAAACATATTTTAAATTAATTTTTTATGAAGTTTATGATGTGGTGGTTGTACTTGAATCTTTCCGTAATATAAAATCTATTGGGAATTTTGAAAGGATTGAAACTATCAATAATTCAAGTCCTAAATGGTTTAAAGGTGTTTCAATAGTTCCAGTGTTGTCATGTTTTAGTGTAGTTTGATATATGAGGTATATCTCCTGAATAGAGTAAAACCTAATCTCTAGTCATTACATTCAGATTTAAACTACATTCAAATATTGGTAAGGGTTTTCTTAGTCTCATGTTACATAAAGTCATGTCATCATTTTTGTATAAAGATGTGAGAAAGATGAAGCATATAATTTATTGTGAAAGCAAAATAATGTAAGTTTTGGGATTCGTAATTGTTGAAGACTTTGTAACCTGTTTGAAGGATGCAACATCTAATTCTTAATTTATTTCTCTGTAGTCTAGCTACAAGTTTTGATAAGAACATAAAAGTGAAGTTTCTGTATAATTGTGGAAGTATTAAAGATGAAGGTTGAACCATTTTCTGATGAGAAGCAGGAAGATTTGTTGGATATTAAATTGGAGAAAAGTGAAGAAGAAACTTTCACAATAACTAATAGTAAGTATATATGTATTTAGAATTTAAGTATTTTCTGTTCTTCCCAAACAAAAATGTGTGAATTTTATCTGTTTTAATTTAGCAGTTTACCTAATTTTTTTATTCAGTGATATTTCCATTTTTATATGCATGATTTTATTTTCTGTTTCAGGGATGTATATCAGTAAAATTAGGTTTCATTCTTTTGTTTATTTTGTCTTTGATTGCATGAACCTGAGTCTAGTTACACTTTCCTTATCTTATTCTATACCATCATCTATGAGTGGGGGTTAAACCTGAGACCTTTCAAGTGTGAGTAAGTGTTCTACTAACTGAGATGAAGGATTAACCCACTATATACTGTTAGTGAAAAACTTGTATGTGATTTTATCAGTGTTAGAAGATTTGTTCTTTTTTAATGTACTGGGAATTTGAAGACAGAATTGACTTTTATTGCTTTTTCATTATCACATAACCTAAATTTCTGAATATCCTTGATGCAGTGCAACATATTTATTTACAGTTCTACACTTAACCACTTTTCATGCGAGGTATTAGCTATTTTAGAAGCTTTTTCTTTAAGTGAGGTTTTATTCCATATCTGACCATGGAAACCTATAGATGCTTTGTTGGCAATCATTGATCAACATATTTGGATCAGACAATGGATTTAGAAGAGAACTGTTACA